AATTCACAATTTACAATTCGAGTTTAACTAGTGTAAGTATTATACAGTAATGTAAGATTTCAAAAGTACAAGAGTAAAAGATGTCGTTCGGTTGGCGGTCGCGAAACTACTGTCGCTTTCGCCTTACAAAAGGGACGTATGTACAGCTGTTGACAATCAATTAGAAACGTTCTCTTTTGCCCAGCGCTTGGTGAATATAATAATGAAATGCTTAAATTTACCGTTATTTTTTCTCTTAAAAACCTTTGCGTTCCTTTTGTTACTATTTTTAATGCTAATGGACAAAGTTTTGTAGTTGTGTTATTGCAGTACCGTTCATATTTTCTCACAAAGTGCGTGGTTTACTTAGTGCAAGGTAAAGAATTGAGACAGTTAATTAGAAACATTTGTTTAGTGATAACTTGTCGACACGTTGTGGTGCTCTAATAATATAATTAAATATTTTTAGTAAGTAGTTATTATTTTAAATTTGTTGTTTAAAATCAATTTGAACGTTTTTCTTAAAGACTTGTGATGGGAAAAAACCGCAATTGTACACCTGCTCTACGCAGCTCTATTTATGACCTTCGCAAAGCTGGAAAGTCATACAGCGAAATTGCGAAGCAAATCCAATGCTCAAAAAAAATGGTGTTCACAGCCTTAAAGCATATTCACAACTTTAAAACTGTTGCGAATGTTCCACGTAAAAAAAGACCACGGAAAACTTCAGAAGAAATAGACCGCCAGATTGTACGAATCTCTAAAAGAGACCCAAAAAAGAGTGCTACTGACATACAACGCGAAATTCATGATGAATTCAATACTGAAATATCCAAGAGGACAATTGCTAGGCGTTTGGTCGAATCCGGACTGCATGGTAGAGCAGCACGCAAAAAGCCCCTTCTTACTAAAATCCAAAGGAAAAGACGCCTAGATTTTGCGAGATCCCATTGGTCGTGGACTCCAACCCAATGGAAGTATATCGTTTGGAGCGATGAAACGAAGATCAATCGTATTGGACCTGATGGTCGGAGGTATGTTCGGCGGCCAATTAACGAAGAATTCAATCCTCGCTATGTTTCACGGGTAGTGAAGCATGGTGGAGGATCAATCATGGTGTGGGGATGTTTCTCCTGGAATGGTGTTGGTCCACTTCATAGGATTGAGGGTATTTTAAATAAGGAGAAATACGTCGACATACTGAAAAATGTCATGTTGCAGTCCAGATTTGAGCCCAATAGAACATCTCTGGGGTGACGTTAAAATTGCCGTGAGTGCCAAAAATATACCCAATATGGATGTTCTTTTTGATGAGATAAGAACGGCATGGCAAGCCATACCAGTGGCACGCTGTCAGAATCTAATTACATCAATGCGCAATAGGTGTGAGGCAGTGTTGAAGCAAAAGGGTTATGCAACCAAATATTAACCATATCCTTATGTATACATAAAAACATAATTTCGTTTCTAATTAGTTGCCGAACCCAAATATTGGATTTCACAAGTTCTTGTAAATTTTTTTTTTTAATAAATAATAATGAATAAATTGTTTTCTGTTGGTTCTTAAGTTTAAATAAAATATATTTAAAAAATTTTAAAATTCGTATTTTTAATGGAAAATGACTTTTATTTTAAGATAAGTGTAGTTTCTAATTAGCTGTCAACAGCTGTATATATGTACATACGTAACAAAATGGAATAAAAAAAATTGAGGAATTTTAGAGATCAATAAGGTTGCCGGCTTGCCCATCATGACCAATTGCAATATGGGTATCAAACTGAAGGGATGTAGGAAATTTTATTGCCGAAAATATTTTTAGGGAGGGCTGCCACCTGTTTGAAAAATTTTATTGTATTAGATTGATAAAATAAATGAAATCTATATCTACATCTATACATATAATAAAATTGTAACAGGTCGACGGCTGTACCTTATAGATATTAAAGAAAAATTAATATGATGGGTTTTTATTAAAGCCAAATAAACAATTTTTAGAATTTTTGAATCTCTGTCTGTCTGTATATTTGTACGCGCATCAGGTGAAAACATCGAATTGAATGCAGTTTTCACCGATGTATCGCTAGAGATCTAACTTCCAATAAAGAAGAAAAAATTAGAGAGTTGCCACCTGTGGTTAAAATTTCAATTTAGTTCAATTGATACGGTAAAGTGAATACTGCAATATGGCTGTCAAAAGAAAGAAATTTACAAAGGCTTACAGCTGAAAATATTTTTGTGGAAGGTTGCCACCTATTTGAAAACTTTAATTGAATTTAATTGATAGCATAAATTAAATATTGCAATATTGGCATCAAACTGAAGAGGCTAGGAAATTTTAATGCTGAAAATATTTTTAGGGGATTTGCCAACTGATTGAAAAATTGTATACATTAAAATTTGTAAAATAAATGAAATATTGCAATACGAATATTAATTAATTAATTAATCCCAACGGCTTTTTACCCTCCATTCCCGCCCAACCGACACGAGGGGCGCAGTCCGCATGACGTACGGAACCTTTGTTTTTTTTTTT